CAGCTGGCCGCGTCCCCGGCCGCCCGGCAATGACCATGGCAACTTCTCGCGGCCCCTTCCCCGGCCTGTGCCCTGGCCAGGAGCCAGTAGGAGCAGGGGTGGGAGAGGCCCCGCGGCCCCGGCTCTGGCGCCTTTCCTCCCCCAACGCAGCCCTTCTCCCTTTGGGTCACGGGCTTCTCCTTTCCTTCCCCTGGGTCCTCGTCCACGAGCTGAACTTCCCGGCTGGCAGGGTGGGTGGCTGGAGGGGAGCCTGTGGTCAGGAAGGCCTGGTGGGTGAGGGGACAGGACAGGGATCTGCTAGCCAACCTGGCTTGGTACCCAGACACCATGAGCCACCTGCCCAGTACCTGGCGGCAGATTTGCCTCCCAGGGGCTGATTTGGTGACAGGTGTGGGAAGCTGAGGCAGTGGGGGCTGGAATTCCCCCTCCAGTAACATTCTGGCTCTTTAGATTAGTAGAGGGGCTTAGCTGCATAGTTGTTTCCAGAGGCCTAATTTCAAGGGTTATCGTATGTTTCAAAAAAGCCCACAAAATGTGGCAGAGTTTGAGCCCTTTAAATACAGTCATGGAGAACAGGCTGGTCCAGTAACATGCCTCAGCACTTTGGCAGAGTGAAAGCAGCTACAGGGTCTCCCAGTGCAAATGTGGAGGGTGAGAGATGAGGCTGAGTCTAGAGTGGCTGCAGGTCAGGAATTATGGAGCAGCAGCAGACTTAAGAATTGGAATAGTAGAGCAGAATAGGATTGAGGGTTGACAGATCTCTGGTGTGTCCAGGGCTGGAATAGCAGGGGCTGCAGGGCAGGGCTGAGGGGCACTGGCAGGGCTGTGAGGGGAGCCCAGGACTGGGATAGCAGGGGGTTGCAGGGCAGGACTGAGGGATACTGGCAGGGCTGTGAGGGGAACCCTGGCTGGAATAGCAGGGGGTTGTAGGGCAGGACTGAGGGGCACTGGCAGAGCTGTGTGGGGAGCCCAGGGCTGGAATAGTATAAGGCTAGAGCAGATCGGAACTGGAGGTCACCATAAGAGATATGCTGGGAACTCAGGATAAGAATAGTTGTAGGTCCCCCAGATCAGGATTGAAGGGCATGAGAAGGTGTGTATCTGAAGGTCCAGGCCTGGAATAGCTGGGAATCAGAATTAAGGTGTCATAGTAGAAATGTGCTGGGATAAGACTTGAAAGCAGGAGGTCTGTGAGTCAGGACTGAGGTAATGGGCATAGCTGGAACCAGAACTGGAATATTAGGGGGATGGGAATATACATCTCAGATGCATTAGCAAAGCTGTATTTATTCCAGGCTTGGGCTCCATAGAATAGATGCAGGGGATCAAGACAGAGGTGCACTTGCAGACAAGTGGGGATCTGAGGCCTGAAATTCAGCAGGGAGAGGGTTGCAAGCCAGACATGAGGTGCTTTACAGCTAAGTACAAAAGAACTGGAACTGGAAGCAAAGGGCCAGGGCTTGGGGACTGGGAATGAAGTGTCTCAGCAGAAGGGTTGTGCCTGGGGATCCCAGGACCAGGACTACAGAGGTGGAGGAAGGCAGGTCAGGAGTCAGCAGACCTGAGAGTGGGTGCAGGGAAGGCAGACCTGGATCTGAGGGGGCTGCAAGGCAAGACAGGCATGCAGCTGGACTGTCTGTTATCTAAAGGCACTAGGGAGAACCCTGCATGGCCTAGATCAGGATGCTCTGTTTGTGCGTGTGAGTGATGAGAGAATTGGGGAGCTGGAAATATCTTCAATTGCCTTTTCTCTTTTCTCTCCCTACTGCAGTGAACCTTGAGCCCTGAATCTTCAAGGGAGCCTGGGAAAAGGATCTTCCCTTCCTGCTGTCCCCCAGTGCTTGCTAGTTGAGCCCCACGCCAAGTACCCCTCCTCTGACCTAATAGGAGCAGAACAACTCCGGGGGGTGGCAGAAAGGACAGGGGGTGGGGAATCTTGGATAGATTAGATTCTTGCCTCTCTTTCCCCTCCACCTTTTCAGAGCTTCAGCAGGGCAGGAAAATAGAAATCATTAGCTCCCTGAAATTGTGGTGTTTGAGAGGGGATTGTGCACTGTGCACATGCCAACTCCGCCATAATTCACAGCCTCTCTAAACCCCTCTGTTAGCACACCCGCTCCCCTCTTCCCCCCATCCCTTAAGACACCTGAACTGAGCTGCCAAGATTTGGCACATAGCAGCATCCCACTGCAACATCTGGACAGGACTGAGTCCCAGAGATACCTGTTTGCTTGGGTGTAGCTCTCCCAGGCTCCAGAAGGAGACAGAACTGAGAGCAGGTATGGTTGGAGCATGAGGCAGAAGATCCATCTTGGAGGGAGTAAAGTGGGAGAGAGGCTGTAACAGAGAGAGGAAATAAAAGAAAGTGTGTGAGGGAGAGAGGGGGGAAGCTCTAACAAATGATAGAAAGAGAGAAAAGGAGGGGCAGAAAGAAAATAAAGGGAAAGAACAAGGAAGAAATAAATGACGTGATTAAAAGAGTGAAAGAGCAAAAGAGGGGAGGAGAGACAGTTGAAAGGGTTGCACAAAGAGGGATAGAGAAAAGGAGGGAGCTCTTCCCATGTACCCTATGGCAATGATGACTCTCTGCGGCCCCTTGCTTCCTATCCGGAGCAAATGAGGCAGGAGTTGTCTGCCCTGGTGCGGAGTCTTTGTGCTTGATTTTCTTACTCTGCCTTCGGCTCCCAAGGTGGGAGGCATGATGCATCGTGGAGGGGGCAGCAGTGTGGGAGACCTGTCAGAGTCCACCCTGCACAACAACTCATTGTGGTGGCTGGCATGTGGACTGCTGGCTCTGCTAGCCAACTCCTGGATTATTCTGAGCATCACAGCCAAGCAGCAGAAGCACAAACCTCTGGAGCTGCTGCTGTGCTTTCTAGCTGGGACCCACATCCTCATGGCGGCTGTCCCCCTCACTACCTATGCTGTGGTGCAGCTGCGGCGCGAGTCCTCTGACTACGACTGGAATGAGAGCATCTGCAAGGTCTTTGTCTCCACATACTATACTCTTGCCCTGGCTACCTGCTTCACAGTAGCCTCCTTGTCCTATCACCGAATGTGGATGGTGAGGTGGCCAGTAAACTACCGGCTCAGTAATGCCAAGAAGCAGGCTCTGCATGCAGTGATGGGCATCTGGATGGTATCCTTCATCCTCTCCACCCTCCCCTCCATTGGCTGGCACAACAATGGCGAGCGCTATTATGCCCGTGGCTGCCAGTTCATTGTCAGCAAGATAGGACTGGGATTTGGTGTCTGCTTCAGCCTCCTGCTCCTGGGAGGAATCGTCATGGGCTTGGTGTGTGTGGGCATCACCTTTTACCAGACCCTATGGGCACACCAAAGGCACCAGAGATGTCGTCACCTGCAGACAGAGGAAGCCTCTTCCTGCCCTCCCTCAGCACACAACACCTTCAATGTGCCAGCCATCGTTGTAGAGGATGTCCGGGGCAAGAGGAGGTCATCACTGGATGGCTCGGAGTCAGCCAAGACCTCCATGCAGATGACCAACCTTATCAGCGCTATTGTCTTCCTGTATGACACACTCACCGGGGTGCCCATCTTGGTAAGAGCAGGCCACCAGCTCACTCCCAAACCCCTTCTCAAGGGACTAGAGGGCATGAGCAAAAGAGGGTGGAGAGAGGAGCAAAGGGGTCTCCAGCTCAGAGTAGCTAGCCTCCTGTCGGCCCCACTGCAGGCTACGTTCTTTGGAATGATTTTAGCTAGAGGCACCCAGAGGCCCTAGCACGAGCCCTTCCAGAGGCTGGAGAAGGGATGGAGGAAGCCCCTCTTCTGTCCCTCTCTGGCTCCACACTACGTCTAGACTGCAGGCTTTTTCTGCAAGAAGCTTTTGTTAGAAGAGTTCTTCCGCAAAAACTTCTTGCACAAGAGAGTATCCACACTGCAAAAGTTCATTGAAAAAGCAAGTAAGCAGTGATTGCTATGGACAGAATGGCCACCAGGGCACCTGTGCTTTTTCCTCTTCCCCATCCACACATGCCTTTTTGCGAGCAAAAAGGCATTCTTCCTCGTAGAATGAGGATTACCAATTGTGCAAACCCCCCTCTTATCTTTTGATTTACTTGCACAAAAACACACTTGAGGTGTGGACGTTCCGCAAAGTTTTTGAGAGAGAAACAATTTTTTTTCCGCAAAAACTCTGTAGTGTAAACATAGCCTGAGATCAGTGTACTGTTAATCCAGCCTTCTTGTTGCTTGTGACTTTAGATAACTGTTTCACCTGCCACTCCTACCCAAACAAGGGGGCTTTTATATTTGGCCCTGTGCAATTTCTAAAGGCATTCAGGATGCAGGAATTTGCTTTGATACATTTACCTTATTTTCAAAATGGCCATTTTTGCTCAAACTTTTTTTTAAAAAAAAGTATTAACTCCACAACTGAAAGGCTTGTAAAGCTCTGAATTACTGAGACCAGGGGCTAGAAACCATGTTGTAGACTTAAAGGTGATCTGCCCAGGGATTTGTGTCCTATCAGGGTTTGTGTCCATTGTTTGTTCATGTATAAAGGATTCAAAAGGTCTGAAAGTTGCTGGAGGAGGTTAAGCTTTGTTTTGGGGTTGGTTTTGTTTCTTCCACCTGAATGCATTTTCTTATTAGAAATTCAGTTCTGGTCTGTCCTGACAGATTCTATGGAAAGGTGACAAACTGCTGAAATTCTCAAAACTGAAAGGGAGCAATTAAGAGAAGGAAATGTTTCAAATTCCATGTTATTTGTAGACACCTAGTTAACTCCAGTGCATAATTTGCACCATTGAGACAGGACAGCTATCCTAGGTCTCGCCCCTTATTCTAAAGGTGTGAAAGCAGTATACATCCTTTCAGAGCCCACGTGTCCTCTGGCGAACACTGGGCAGCCCAGCCTGCCTAGCTGTGGCATCTGGCAGGGACAAAACAAGGAGACTTTGAAGAAAGAAAAACCCAAAGACCAATTATTTTGAAACCCCTTTGCCAGTCAGCCATTTGACTGCACCGTTCACACTCATGCCGTCTGTCTCCTCCCCCTCCTTCCGTAACCATGTATGTCTCTCCCCCTCACTGTCTGTTTCCTTCCCATCCCCAAGGTGGTGAGTTTTTTCAGCCTGCGTTATGATACCGCTCCTACCTGGATGGTGTTGGCAGTGCTGTGGTGCTCCATGGTGCAGACCCTACTGCTTCCCTCTTTCATCTGGTCCTGTGAGCGCTACCGAGCTGATGTCCGCACCGTGTGGGAACAGTGCGTGGCCATCATGACAGAAGAAGATGGGGATGATGGTGAGCCCCCCAGCTCCCAATATTCCCACTATATCCCTCATCACAAATCCTGCCCCCAGGACAGACAGCCTGGCAGCACTGGGTGTCGCATCAGAATGCTCCTGGCAGGGCCAAAAACATCCAGGATTGTAGCTGGGGTTCCCCGACTGGGAAAGGGACAACACCTTCTGTGGGGACTGAAGCAGTACATACACTCCTCCCACTCTAACCAAAGTGTGAACAGAATTATTCAGACACCCAAATTGTGATGGTGAGGCAAGACATGGGATGAAAACCTCCAAACCACAGTGGATGGACCCCTCTTCCCTCCCCCCTCCCCCAGCAGTGATCTAAGCATCCATATTTCCTTCTGTTCTGCTTGCAAGATACTTGGGGTGAAGTAGCTCCTAGTGAGGTGGGACAGGGCAACCCCAGTGCTCCCTAGACTTCCCAGAAG